ACAAAAACAAAAAAAACCAAAATCTTTATAATATGCATAATCAAGCAAAATCAATGCCCACATTGGCTTTGTCCAAAAGTGTATGTCTCTTTCCATCACTTCTCTATTGGGAGGTAAGCAGCATCCTTCACCTCCTAAAATTCTACAATGATTCTTCCTGAAGTTTTTAGATTTTACTAAAATCTGGTTAGATCCATTGTTACCAATGATTAGATTGCCATGAAACTCCTGGAAAATCTATTCAATTTCCTATCTGTTTGTTACCTTACTAGTTTAATCTAGAAATATATTTGTCTAAGGAAACAAAACTATCAGTCTTTGCAGACGACATAATGTTATACTTAGAAAATCTTAGAGAATCAACTAAAAAACTAATTGAAATTATCAACATTAGCAAAGTTGCAGAATACTAAATAAACCCACATAAATCATCAACATTTCTATATATTACCCACAAAGTCCAGCAGCAAGAGATAGAGAAATTCCATTTAAAATAACTCTAGAAAATATAAAATACTTGGGAGTCTACCTACAAGGCAAACCTTATCACTATATGAACATAACTATGAAACACTTTTCACACAAATAAGGTCAGATCTAAACAACTGGGAAAATATTAATTGCTCGTGGGTTGGCTGAACCAACATAACAAAAATGACAATTCTACTTAAATTAATATATTTATTCAGTGCCATACCAATCAAACTATTAAGAATTATTTTATAGAGCTAGGAAAATAATAACTAATTTAATCTGGAACAACGAAAGCTCAAGGATATAAAGAGAATCAATGAAAAAAATGCTAAAGATGGTGGTCTAACCGTACCACATCTTAACTGGTATTATAAAGCAATAATTATCAAAACAATCTGGTACTGGCTAAGAAACAGAGTGGTGGACCAGTGGAATAGATTAGGTACAAATACGTTATAGTAAAATAGTATATGAAAACCCAAAGATCCAAGCTTTTGGAACAAAAACTCAGTATTTGATAAAAATTGCTGGGAAAACTGGAAAACAGTGTGGCAGAAACTAGGTTTAGATCAACATCTCATACCATATACCAAGATAAGGTCAAAATGGGTACTTGATTTATACTTAAAGGGTAATACCATAAGCATAGTAAGAGAGTATGGAATAAGGACAAAAGAAGATATAGAGAGCATTACAAAATGTAAAATAGATAATTTTGATTATATAAAATTAAAAAGATTTTGCACAAACAAAACCAATGCAACCAAAATTATAAGGGAAGCAGGAAACTAGAAAAAATGTTTATAACAAGTTTCTCTGATAAAGGCCTAATTTCTCAAATATGTAGAGAACTGCGTCAAATTTGTAAAAATACAAGTCATTCCCCAATTGATAAATTGTCAAAGGATATGAACATGCAGTTATCAGACAAAGAAATCGAAGCTATCTACAATCAATTGAAAAAATGCTCTAAATCACTACTGTTCAGAGATATGCAAATCTAAACAACTCTGAGGTATCATCTCACACCTATCAGATAGGCTAATATGACAAAAAAGGAAAATGTTGGATGTTGGAGGGGATGTGGGAAAACTGGGACACTAATAAGGGCTACAAAACTGTGCACACCCTTTGATCCAGCAATACCACTGCTAGGTTTATATCCCTAAGACATTAAAAAAAAAGAAAAAGATCTATTTGTACAAAAATATTTATAGCAGCTCTTTTTATGGTAGCTAAGAATTGGAAACCAAAGGGATGCCAATCAATTGGGGAATGACTAAACAAGCTGTGGTATATGATTGCAATGGAATATTAATGTGTTACAAGAAGTGACAAGCAGGGTGATTTCAAAAAGACTTACATGACAATGCATAGGGAACAGAATCAGAATAATGTACATAGTAAGAACAATATTGTACACCGAAGAACTGTGAATGACTTAGCGTTTCTCAACAATACAATGATCCAAGACAATCCCAAAGGACTCATGATGAAGCATACTATCCACCTCCAGAGAAAGACCTAATATTGACTGAATACAGACTGAAGCATGCTATTTTTCACTTTTTCTTTCAATTTTTTTTCTTTTATTTGACTCTTCTTGTACAAAATGACTAATATGGAAATGTTTTGTATAATTGCACATGTATAACCTATATCTGATTGCTTACCATCTCAGGGAGGAGGAGAGGAGAGGGAGGGAGAGAAGGATAGAATTTGGAACTCAAAACTTTAAATAAAAATGTTTTTAAATAAAAGAAATATGTCTTTCTACACTAATCTAAAAAAATGCATTGCCAAACTCAGTACAGATTTGTTTTCCCTTCTACTATTTTTCCCTGTTGTGTGAGACAATAGTACTCATAATCTTCTGTCATCCCCTGTGCCCCTATAATGTTTTGCTAATGGGCTTGTACTCTAGTTTCTGGGCCCTTTGGCTTCCTTGTTGTGGTGATTGATTTACATTGGTTACACTTTTAAAAGAAGTTTCCATAATGAAAATCAATACCTTTGACTTCATCCATTTTCCAGTCAATAGCTTATTTTTATAGTTGTTTGAAATTGTTATAATGTACATGATGCCTTTTCAAATTTATTCTTTCTTCTAATTTGATATTAATTTTGACCTTTTTTCTAACCAAATATAGATCTTTATCTGGAAGATATAGGTCATCTAGTTCAACTCTCTCACTTTACAGGTGAGGAAATTGAGGCCTAGGTAGGTTAAAGGACCTGCCTACAATCACCCAGGTACTAATGGTCAGTTGACGCAGATAGACAACCTGATTCAGAAATAACTACCTCATTAGCAGGTTCTTTCCTCTGTTAGGATTGCCATTTTCTTCCTTCCTTCCTCCTTTTTTCTTTCTTTTGTACTGTACAGTATTCTCCATAACTAGGCCCTTTCTTGGTACAGTGGATAGAGCGCCAAGCCTGGAGTCAGGAAGACTCCTCTTTCTGAGTTCAAATCTGGCCTCAGGCATTTACTAGCTGTGTGACCCTGCACAAATCACTTGACTCAGTGTGCCTCAGTTTACTTATCTGTAAAATGAACTGGAGAAGAAAATGGCAAACCAGTCTAGTATCTCTGCCAAGAAACCCCAAATGGGGTCAGCAAGAGTAGCACACAACTCAACCACAAAAAGGCTCTTTCTACTTTGTTTGAATCATGTGGTATGAGGCTTCTGAGTAACGTATAAGGCTTTCATCTCTTTCATTTCATAGTCCCCAATCATATTATCCAAAATATTTTTCACCCTCCTTCCCCTAAGGCCATCTTCATGCTGGCTTGGTTTTGAAAGATCTCAAGTTCTCCACAGAATTCCTCTACTTTTTCATCCTTTGCAACAGATATTAGTTCACAAGGTACAACTATTCATTGTTGTCCTTTTGCTTTGTCTTAACACGACACCCCCCCCCAAAGCAAGATGGCTCAATTTCCCATGAAATTTTGCTTATTATTGTCCTTGAGTGATTGAATGTTGCATTTGGAGTCAGGAAGACCTGAGTACAAACCCAGCCTCAGATACTTAGTGGCTGTGGGACCCTGGACTGGTCACTTAACATTAGTTTCTTCAACTATAAAATGGAGATAATAATAGCATCTACCTTACAAAGTTGTATCAAATGAAGTAATATTTGTGAAAAGTGCTTAGCATGGTGCTTGGAACACAGTAGGCATTTAACAAATGCTCATTCCCCTTGTTCTTACTCTGTTAAGTCTTTGATTATATCAAATGAGCCAACATATATAAAATACTTTCTAAACCTTAAAGTCCTTTTTAAATTTGGCCGTGTGTGTTTTCTGGTTTAGTTCCTTCGATGGGAAATAAATATATATGTTTGTTGGTCCTTGCTCACATTCAGAACACTAAGAGTGAATTTCATGTTCCTAGAACGTCTAAAAGGCAGCTAGGTAGCACAGTGGACAGAGTTATTCTTCCTGAGTTCAAATCTAGCCTCAGACACTTACTAGCTGTGTGACTCTGGGCAAGTCACTTAACTCAGTTTGCCTCAGTTTCCTCATTTGCAAAATGATCTGGAGAAGGAAGTGACAGACCACTCCAGTATCTTTGCCAAGAGAACCCCAAATGGAGTCATAAAGAGTCCGACCTTACTGAACTGAAAGTTTAAAAGCCAGGTGTTTCACAGTCACTGTGAAAGCAGCAAGAGGCAACATGCGTTTCAGGGTCAATTTGTAATTTTAGGTATTTCATAGGTTCTCCAAAGGATCTTGGGTGTCACTGATACAGGCTTTCCTTCTAATGATGCACCTCAGAGCCCACTCATCCCATGTGACTCTCATGCTTGTCCTCCCAGGGCAGTGCTGAGGAAGGCCGGGTGGACACGAGAGCTAGAAGGAACTCTGTGCTTAACTCTGCACACCTAGAGCCTTGAGCTCCGCAGAAGTGCAAGTTTGGTGGACCAGGAGGAAAAAGCAAGGGGCCTGGATCAGAGGCAGGGGTACAGTCATCAGAGGTGGATAGAGAAGAAAACAATGTCTCAGAGTCAGGTAGGGGAGAACGGTAATGCCTGGAGCTTTCTGTAAGCTGTGTGGCAGGGGGCAGGGGGCTGACTGTGTTTGCCCTGCTTCTGTTTTAGAGGGACTGGAGTCATAGGTCACCTGTAACTACTGTGTCTTCTAATTGAGTTTCGTGGTGGCAAGGTTCAATGGACACAGTTTCACAGGCTCTTTGCCATCACCTGGGTACTACAGAAGTTGCAAAGAGCTAGAATTTGAACCCAGGTCCTCTGACTCCAAATTGATGAGCCGCGCCCCCCCCCCCACCCCCGGCTGCTGCCCCTGTTGACACGGGCCCTGCAGATGGCATGGGCTGCTGGCACCTGCTCGGCGACATAAGCCTCTCTGCACCAGAGCCAAGGGGTGGGGGAGGAAAGTGAAATCAGGGGGCAGTCGAGGCGTCCAGGAGGGCTACTGGGAGAAGGAGAAGCGGGAGGAGTGAGTTCCGCCGGCGGGGGAATTGAGGAACAAGAAGAGATGATCCGCTTCCGCGGGGGCCTCTCCTGGGTCAGAGCGGGCTGGGGACGTCTGGAGAAAACGGCGCCTGGTTGGGGGGCTGGGCCTGGGGCTCTGCCGGACCGGTGGCCGCGCTCGGGCTCTGCGCCGGTGTGTGCCCCCCTCTGACCCTGGAGAGCCTCGCACCTGCAGGAAGGAAGGACTTTCTAGGCCTGCCCAGAGGAAATGTCTGGCCCTGAAACAGACCAGAGTCGTCCTGGCCGCGGTGGCGTCTGAGTGCTCCAGGAACGGATCACGTTGGCCCTCGGCCACTGTAGGCACTGACCGCTGGGGGCAGGGGGGCCTAGGCTCGCTCTGTGTGCTTCACTGGGGGGGCAGCTCGAGCTCGGTTGGGGGAGGGGGCGTCTCTCCTTTGCCCTTAGGGGAGGTCCGGGCACGGGAGCCCGGTGGGGCCGGGGAGGGGGGGCGGCTCCTGGCCTGAGCGAGGTCGGGCAGGACAAAGAAGTCGAACCACTGCAGGAAACGGCTCCTTTTCCCACATTCGCCAGAGCTGGGGAGCGGCCCCTCCCCCACAGGGGGCCCCAGGACCGGTGGGCGGCGTCGGAAGGAGGCGGGGGAACTGGGGTCCGGCGCCAGGGGTGGGGGGGTGTGGGGAAGGGGCCGGGGGCCGGCTGGGGGGGGGG